TATTTGAGAAACATTTTAGTGCCTCTGGTGAGGATGCAATTTTTCTTTACACATTGTACCGACTGAAATACACGGGCGCCCTTTCAACTTAACCCTTTTACGTACAAGCAACGCCAAACCCCCACCGTGGTACAAGGGCGGTGAGGAGGGGATGTTGGAGGGGTGGACGGTGCCCCTTCCTTGGGTTTTCATAAGGCACAGCAAAATAGATTTACATTGAGTAGAGAGATCTGTGTTTGCCCTACAAGATGACACCATTTCTACTGCGTATAACGTCATATTACGTCAACTGATGTTATTTGATCCGCCGTCTTTGGTTCGGCCTCTTGAAGTCAGTCGCCCTTTTGAAACTTTTTAAAAATCCTTATAGGGAGCTAGCATCCACCTCTCCTTTTTTGGTAGGTCCCTGAGTTAATCTATGCTCAAAACGTGTTCAAAATAGCAAGGAAATTGTGGAAACTGAGAGCTCCCATAATTTTTTAGTCTTTTCTTTACTTAAAATAAAACTTAAGCTCAACTGATAATTATAACACTAACGAGAGATGTTTCAAAGCTCATTTTTAGATACTTGTGTCAGAAATCGCAAAATGGCACACCGGCCGCTGATTTTCCAGCGCTTCCATGTCGCTAACAATCCCATTTCATACCCGTTTGTTTTCATTTCCAAATTTATCATATAGCTTGGAAAACTGCTATTGCCAGTCTGTGACTGTTTTGTCGAAATAAAAGCTCGTTATATATAATTTCTGCTTATTCAAGCATATACTCTTTGGCTACTATAAGTTTTTACTAAGAATTGCAATTGTATGACACAGAAATCGAGAAACCTGGAATCACCGCCTGAACCGTGTTTCGCGAATAGATCACTCTTGCATTAAAGTGCTTTTCTTAGATTGTCTATCCGACTCGATGAGAGGTAGATACCGTATCGTATACCGAAAACTAAGAGCGTTTTGTTAATCTTATAAATCCATGGAAATTCGGGATTTTTTTAATCACATGTGCGATGGCTTTGTAGCAGGGTCCCTACCAGCCTAGTTCAGAGACTCCTTGTTTAAGACACAGAAGAACCGAATGACAACTGTAATAATCCAATAGCACCGGTACTGAAAAAGCAAATGATAGAACTTACTTTTTGATGCTTCCGGAAAGAAAAATATCCAGTTTTGTCTTGAATCGAACGCCGGCTGGCAGTCTGATTTACTTCAATTCAAAGTCGTCCAAGCAAAGGGAACAAAAAAACTATCTGCAAAACAATTACTAAAGTTGTCAGCCTTTATAACTCTGTAAATAATTGGCTATTGGGATTTCAAAACTTTTTTTACCCAATGCAAAACGAAACTTTACAAAGCTGATTATGGCTCATGATTACATTCTAATTATCTCAAAGCTGCCTCTTTAAAGTTCGTTCCTATCAAAGTCCCTAGCACCAGCATCTGATTCCTTCGACAATCATTTAACACAGTAACTGATCATTAAGCTTTAGGCACTGCTTTGAGTTCAGTAGACTTCTTGTTAAATTTAGCGCCAGAGTTTTCACCCTCTCGGTTACGATAACATTAAGCCATCTGTTACTAGCTGGGCTTTGTACGTGTGCTGTAATTGGTAGAGCTTATTTTGTCCCTTTTTCTTATAAAAAAAAAAAAAAGGGGGGGGACTTCTCAACTTAATCCGTTGTTCAATTTTGTCGCAGATTTAGCGCCAGAGTTTTAAATTTAGCGCTAGAGTTTTGACCCTCTCGGTTACGATAACATTAAGCCATTTGTTATTAGCTGGCCTTTGTGTGTGTGCTGTAATTGGTAGAGTTATTTTGTCCCTTTTTCTTACAACCGCAATGAAACACCTTTTATTTCTCGCTGTGAAATGAGCGTTTTTGTTAAAACGGGACTTCTCGACCTAACATGTTGTTCAATTTTGTCGCAGACAACTTAATTCTTTCAAAGATTACTGATTTCAGCGGCTATCTTGTAATACAATGACTGGTCAACGAGGTTTAGCTGCTGCCCTGAAGCCAGTACACTTCTTTTTGCACTTTACGTGCCAGAGTTTTGTCATTCTCGATTACGACAACATTAATCCATCTTTTACTATTCTTTTTGTAGGTGCGTTCTAATTGGAGGAATTATTGTGTCCCTTTCTCTTTCAACCACAATGAAACACCTTTCACTTCTTGCTGTGTAAAAGGCGTTTCTGCTACAAAATGACTTTTCAAACTAATCTGTCGTTTAATTTTTTTGCAGAGTCCTTAATTTTCTCATAGACTACTGAGACTACTGATTGCAGCGACGATCTTGTAACACAGCGAACTAGTCACTAGTTTTTAGGCACAGCTTTGAATACAATAGCCTCATCTTGCCAGAGTTTTGTTACGATCCGTTACGACAACATTAAGTCATCTGTGACTAGGCTTTTTGTGTGTGGGTTGCAATTAGTAGAGTTATCTTGTCTTACAAACGCAATCAAACACCGTTTAACTCTTGCTGTGCACTGTTATAATGGGCTCGTGTTATATTATGGTTGTTCGAAAGGATCCTTGTTGTTTAATTTTGTCGCAGACTCTCTGTAGTGTATTCATAGATTTCTAATTCCACTAAAATGTTATAACTCTGCGACTAGTCTTTAACATTCATGCACAGCTCTAAATCCAATAGGCTTCTTACTGAGTCAGTGCCAGAGACAGTTATGCCATGGTCGGTCACGGTAACATCAAGCCATCTGTTACTCGGCTGTTGTGTTTGTATTGTAATTGGTCGATTGCTAAAGGTGAAGTTAAGACTGAAGGTCTTTGGAACATGTGAAGAAACAGGTTCTCTAGTGTTTGATAGACCTTTTCAATCTAAACTTAACTTAGGATGTAAATTAAAATCGTAAAAACCCAGCATGTTATAATTGAAAACATATTTCAGAACACAGTCACAGTCCTTTGTAGAAGTTTGCAAGAAGTTAGGCATTGAACATTAGTATTCCACTGTTACGAAATTCTGCCATAGTAAGGCAAGAAAGAGCACAAAGCGTGAGCCCGCTACGCGCTGCCGAGTCCCGGTTTGATGGGGTTACAACAGAACAAATACGGACGGAAACTGCATCTCAAAATGAGTAAACGAGACTTTCTTGTTTTTCAAGCCCAGTAATAATACATTGAGGCGTTTCTAATTCGTTATTTGAAAATTACGAAACGTCGATCGTGTTCTATTCAATGCAAATTTGTTTTCAACTCCATACGAAGACCGAAAATTTGCCATGTCAATTGCTCGTCAGTTATCTTTTCAATGTAACCAATCCAATAAAAGGGGCATTTTAATGGTTTCATTTTTGTTTTCCTCATTTGCATCCGCCTTATACATGATGCAGGATGAAAATGCCATACTGCCCGTATACAAAATATACATAATATAAAAAAGGGTCGTGAAAATTTTTGTTAGAATATGGATGCGCGATTTCACGAGAGACCATACTAGAGAAATGGTGGACACAAACAACATTTTATTGACACCGATAGTTTCGACTGATAAGGCTGAGGCTATATGGAACTGGCGCTGAATATACGAAAGTCCCCACTTAACATAAAGGCCGAGACACAGTAGGCGACAAGTCGCTAGGACAGGTCTCTGTGATAAGTCGCTCCGTGTGTACTGCTTCCGAAACAAGTCGCTGCGACAAGGCACTTGTTCTTACCAAGCACCGCAGTGATTTCGGATGAGGGGAAATATATGTGAACTAGTCTTCTAATTCAACACGGCGGACCTATAGCGAAGGTCAAAGAAAAAAAAAAAGCTTTGAGTTCTGTTAACGATGCTGTTAGATACGGAAAATATAAACACGTTGAAAGAAGATATTGGACACGACAGTGAGTGTCAAGAAGAGAAGAAAGAGGGGTTTGTTACACTGTTTTTAAAAAACCTGCTATCGAGGATTTATCCCATAGGAGTCTATTGTCTCTATAAAACTGGATTACCACTTAAGCTGCAGTTACATTCCATGTTGAAGGCGAATAATCCTCGGATCGCTCAGATTTTTGCCCGTTTACATGTTCAGTCGCTATTTTGAAAAGGCTGCTGAGAGATCATGGGTTTATAAATGACGCTCTCTCATTGGTCAATTTATATTTTGTCGCAGCGACGCGTCGCAGGAGTGTGCACATGCTGCGACAACGCTGCTTACAGTCATTTTGTCGCTGCGATTAGTCGCACGAATTCAAACCAGTTTAAGTTCCTGCGACTGATCGCAACGACAAAATTCTGTGGCAGCGACAAAGATTTTCACATAACTTCACCATGTCACACAAGGCGAATTGTTGCAGCGACTTGTCCCCGGGACGTGTCGCAGCGACTTGTCACCTAGTATGTCTCGGCCTTAATATTTAAAGAACAGCTAGCGGGTTCCCAAAACAGCCCGAGAACACTCTGAAGTTGGATAAGGAAATTTCTATAGGGTGTAACACTATCTATGCTATCTCGAAGTTACATTGAGAAAACGAACAATGAAAGGCAGCCAACCAGAATTATCGAAAAGGCTCGGGGCGCGAGAATGGTTCAATGTAACGGTTTAAAAGAACAAACTCAGTTTAGGACTTTGAGCTCTTAGTGCTGTAAAACGCCAAATATTAGGTGATGGCAATAAACGTCTTTGAAGAAAAACAGTTGTTCGTTTATTTTCTCGGAATATTTTGTCAGCTTGCATAACTTGTCGCGTTGCTGAGCCTAGGGATTTTGTTTTGCAATAACAAAGAAGCAGTGGAAAACTCTATTGTGTTTGAACAAACAGAGTTGTTTTGTTTGTATATTTAGTTAATTAACCAAATAGAAATCGCTTTGTTGGCAGTCAGAGATTCTTAAATGGCTGACGAAACCGCGATCCACAATTCCGTATGGCCCAAGGCATTCTGAAGCGGAAAATCAATCACACTATTTCATACCACTCAGAGTGTCAGTACAAATTTAGGTCCGAGCCCTGGCAAGCTAGTTTTTCGCAAGCAGAAAAATAAAATAAAGCAATCATAATGATACAAAATCATATTTTATTCTGCTTTAAAATTACCCTACTAAAATGCGTTTCTTATTATTCTGCTCAGTAACTGGCCCATTGGACACGGGTCCCATTTTATGATGTCATCTTCTAAAATCATCATATTAAGTTATCCAATTTTATGTTAAGCTTCCCTTCCTGATGATATAATCTTTCGAAAAGGGAAATTGCGTCACCGTTCGGTAAAAAATGATTTCATCAACAGGATACACCACTATGCACCATACACCACTATGCAAACGCCATCCTATCCAATCTCACCCAGATGATACCATCTTACGGAAGAGGCAATGACGTCACTTCCCTATGACGTCATGAACACACACCCCTCAGCAACCCGCGCACCCTTATTTATGCACCCTTCTGTATACGTCCTAGCATGGAAGCCCCACTCTATAACTACTTACGAAGTTTGACAAGATCGTTTTGGTTACAAGAAATCCAGATTTACTTGCGCTTTCACCTAGCGTTATTTTTAAATATACCAAATTATTGATTTATTTATTTTTTACTTTTAATTTTGTTTCTTTTTCTTGTGAAGGTTAACCTTAATTTTGTTGGCTTTCTTTTATTAGTCTCTGAAACTAAGTTTTACGTCAGCTTTCATGCGGCTGTCATAACATTGTTAATTAAGTAGTCTGTTGATCCACTCGGCTTCGCCTGGTGCAGTCACAGTTACTTTGCTTGTAATCTTTCTAAACCCAATATTGCAGTTGAGTCTGTGCCGAATATTTTCCTTTGTTTAAAAAGGGACATACATGAAGTAAAAAGGCTATTAAACTTTACCACACTGTAATTTGACGCAAATTTAAGCTTAAAAATTATTTCTTCATGCTATAATTTATATTCTTGCAGAAATTCAAATGGGAGTGTGAACTATTTTTATTGTTATCTAAAAAAAATTGTATTCGTGCTACTTCACTGAATGGGCTTTGTGGTCTAATAGTATGCCCATAGGATACTATACATACAATATATAGAGTTTTCGGACACGCGCCTAGAGCTATGGGCTGATACTTGCCCTTGGAAATTTTATGCGCTAAAGAACAAATATTAGCCCAAGAACGACGTTCCAAGGCTCATACATCAAGAGTATTTGGCACGACTACTTCTCGCAAAACTGCGAACCATGGCTCGACCAAACATACTTGATATGGTACTAAGCATATCAAAGGTACGGTTAGGTATAAATAGGAGCACGTTGAGCTTTATCGCTTGATAGTGCCCGAAAGCGTACCACGTGATCAGCTCTGGGCCAGTGACTACAATGGAAAACGAGAAAGAGCCGAGGGAACCCAGACGCGGATTCCAACAGAACACGCTGCCTATCAATTCGATATAATATGATACGTGTAGTTCGTAGAACAAGCATGAGGCGTTGACGCAATTAGGGTAAGAGCATAGACAATTTACATTTTGAAAATCGAAAGATGAGTAATTTTCCTCCCTTGATCACGCAATATCTTATAAAAGAAATAGAAAACCTTTTCTCAGTATCGCAATAAACCTATGTGGAGGCGAGGAGGCCTTCGGTTAACACGCTGGGCTCCGGGTTTAAGCCGTGGCCGAAGGAATTGCACTGTGTTCTTGGCCAAGACATTTTACTCTCACGTTGCGAAGGGAACTTTCTCCACCCGTGTGTATAAATCAGCACTGGCGAATTTAATGCCGGGAGTAACCCCGCGAAGAACTAGGGAGTGATTTTGGAAGGAGTCAAAAAAGTTGTGTGAACCCCAACCTGGCGGTTCGTGTTCCCTTAAAATTTCTCCATCTCACAGACTCTTACTGGGATTTCAATAACTCGATAGCAACGGAAAATGTTTTCTATTTCTAATTTAAATTTTTATTCCGGACAGTGTGTAGTACCAAGTTTAAACTAAAATTAGGTTTTTTTTTTTAAAGGTTCATTTTAAATTCATTAAACCATCCGACTGATTGAGTTAACTGCTCGTGAACATTTACGGTTTAAACTTTACAAAAGTCAGAGCACTTTTAAAAACAAAAGTACATTGGACTAATAACGTAACCTATATAGCCAAAATGTATTACTTGCGTTCCAAATTTTGTTTCTCTATTAAGTGCTGGATTTGTGTATTCATCTACTTGATATCTTTTATCATTTTTTTCAACGTTTCATTCTCCGTCTCTTGTCTCTTAAGTTCAATGGCGATTTTTGTCAACTTCTTGATCTCCGCGAGCAAGCTAAACATGTCATCCGCTGTTTCGTGCTCACTCGGTTGCTTAGACTGTTCACCTTCCCGTGTAGTCGCTTGTTTCGCCTGCTCACCTTCATGCTCCTTTAGTCGTCTTTCTAATCCAGTGACGACTTTTCTCAATAGTTGGACTTCTGCTAGCAAACTAAAAATGTCGTGTGGTGTTTCCGGTTCACTCGGTTGCTTAGACAGTTCCCCTGCTCGTTCTCTCGGCTGCTTGGACTGTTCTTCTGCTCGTTCACTCGGCTGCTTAGACTGTTCACCTTCCTGTTCACTCAGCTGCTTGGACTGTTCTCCTGCTCGTTCACTCGACTGCTTAGACTGTTCACCTTCTCGTTCACTCGACTGCTTATACTGTTCACCTTCTCGTTCACTCGGTTGCATAGACTGTTCACTTTCTCGTTCACTCGGTTGCATAGACTGTTCACCTTCTCGCTCACTCGGCTGCGCAGATTGGCATAAGGCTAAGAAAAGAAAACAACAAGTACTGCCAAAGGTGAGATTATACCTTAAATGAAACCACGATGGCGAATTTTTTTTTTTTTGAGCATAGTTTTTATACCATAGAAGATACAGCCAATCAGAATACAGGAAAGCCGTTGTATATTCGACGGTATAACATCCAACGTTACGTTCCTATCATGCGCCGTGCTTTACCACATTGATTTTGTTGGCCACTGTATTCTCCATGTCATGGTGTAAAATAGTTATGAAACGCTCTCTCGTAGTATGCCTTGGTATACCCCTCATAACCAGTATACAAATGCCTTTAACAATCCAGCTGGAAATTATTTCTGATACCGATTGAAACACTAGATAATTTTAGAAAATCGCAATATTCTTTGGAAAAAATACCGACAGAATGCTGTCCATGCCTTTTTTGCTGCTGGTATTGTATTGCGGTAAAGTAAATAGATGAATGGCGGAATCGCTAAACTCGAGCCTTTTTCTACCAAGTTTATAGCGACGTCAACTAGCGATAAGACTTTTGCCTAAGGGTGTGGTCAATGGGGTCTCTTGTTTATTATCCAGCCTTTATTGACGCTTAGTGGGAGGCATCAGGGCAGTGTTTGGATATCTGATCTAAATTAGCACAGATTTTTACCATTTTATTTTTACGATTTTAATTCTCCGTTTTTCCTTAGTTTTAGTTTCCATTGGGAAGATACATCAAACACTCAAGACAGTGATGACGACATTTCCAAACACCTCGAAGCTCGTGAAAAATACTCTACTGCGAGTCATAGTTTCAAATTTTTTTCGGTGTTTAGTTTGGAAACGTGGTCAAGCACGGTCTTTCGTGTTTCGTAGATCACATAAAGTTTAATCCAACGCATCACAGCACCATCTACATGTACCTAACAACTGAAAAAGTAGCGTCTGCTTTTCATTTTTTATGAATAGTGTAGAGTAAGACCTAAGCGGGGTGATCACTTCGAATCTTTATTTCATAAAGAAAACAGCGCAGAGTTTTTCAAATTTGCCATGAAATTAACCGATCGCCCCATAAGATGACATTCTCCAAAAAAAGGAACGTAGCAGGGTTCGTTTCGTGCATTGGTGGTTTCAAAGCTTGGAACAAAAAGTGCGCATGTCGTCGGACAGATCGGTGAAAAAGGTGGCTTCTCCAAAACAAACATTCTAGATAAGGAACACCGCACACAAAAATGCTCCAGCTTTGCTGAGAACTGGACAACACCTTTAGAAACATCGAAATGTCCTTAATTTGCGTAAATTTGTATTTCTCGTTAAATTAAAACTGGTTGCTATAAGATTTCCTTTGCTCTACTCTGATTAAAAAAGTCATTTGTACGACTTAAATAATAATATATCGTGAATTACAGCGTAGCTCTGTTAACTGGGTAATTTAGTAGCAATTTTATCGTTGGAAAAAATCTTCATAGAGAAATCAATTATGTTATTCATTGGAAGAAGACCATTTACATACCGAGCAGCTTATCTGCAATCCTCTTATGCCCAATTTTTATAAGAGCGCAGGCAAGACGTCCCACCGTAGCATCACTCCCTTTCTTTTCTATCCATATATCCAAGACACGATGAGCCATTTCCCGGAGATCCCGGCAATCGTGCTCTATATTGTGAACTTTTGCTGTGTCAATTCCAAGTGCTATTCCGAGATCGCGCCAGCAGGTTCCTACGTCGTCCTTTATCTTCAAAATGTGCTGTGATGTTAACTGTTCCTTTCGCATCTCGATTTCACCTGTAGAAAATGAAAAAAATGTATATTTAGCTAAGAATAACTTCTTCTCAACAACAATCACATCCGATCAGCTGAAGTAAAAAAAAAAAAAAATGGTGTTCCGACGGACCTAATATTGACCCATAACAAAACATAAACGACCACTGTAAAACAAAAAAAAGTTAGGTCGATCTTACACAAATTAAATGCACATTGCATGCAGATATGATACGTTTCTTGGCCATATGAATGTATCGTGATGATATACTAAATGAAGAGAGGTACTTGGCAATGAAGATGGTGAATGGAAGGCTGAAATGGTCAGCACGTTCCAGAAGTTTAATTTTCTCTCTCGCACCTCCTACGGTATAAGCAAACATCCCTTATACTCTGTTATACAAGTCACGAATTGCGTGATCGACGAGTCAAAACAACTTAGAAGGCTAGTATCTTTCGCTTTCATGTGACCATTTTTGTCCGTTGTCCTTTTAAGACCACGAGAACTCAGCTCTGTGTAAATCTTTATTCAATGTAAGATGATTTTCTGATGTTTTGATCGAATAAGAGCAGAAAAACGTCAATTTGCACGTACAGCCCACCATTCTCCCTGGCCGTTACCTATCTTCCCCAAGAGCAAGGCACTTGGGTGCGAAACCCCGCAGGCTACACAGGCAACCTACCATGCCTACCTTTCAAATCTAGAAATAGGTGACAAAGAGAATCTCCTCCGTACTTAGGGAACTTCAATGAATAACACCTACCTTGATCACCAGACATGCCTTGTGAAGTCGAAGGACGATCATGCTAAGGATGAAAAGCTGGGGTGAATTTAAGAAGGATTGTATTGCCTTTCATTACTTTATAACTAACTCAAATAAAATTATTCAGCTACTTGCAAAAAAGAGAAATCTGACTCATTCTAGCTAAGTGCTTATTTGCCTAAATCTTCAAGTTGTGGTGTTAACCTTAATGTTCGGGGGTATTCTTTTTTTCTGGTAAACTTGTTTGTGCAATTCTTCCTGACGATCATTTTCGCGGCTATTTTAGAAAAAAAGTACCACGCTAAAGACGATAAGTTTTTCCAAGTAATAATGCAAAGAAGAGGCCAACGTAGTGCGAACAGAAAATAGACTATTTTATTTACAGCAAATAACAATTCATTACAGGGACCTTTCATTGAATATGAGAATTACGCTGGTTTTTTGTTTGTTTGTTTTGGAGATAATGAGTGTTCAACTTTGACATTTACGACATGCTAAATTTCTTTTTAATCCATAAATTAGGAAAATGTTACCTGTTGCGAAGCAGGTTTTTCAATAATAAGATCAATATAAGATTTTCAAAAGTCAATTAGTCTTGAGTCAGAATTATTATTACGTCACACAAACTAAGGTTTGAAATGTTTTTGCGGTACATTCTTTACCAAACATGCAGACTATTTTACTCTTACGTATTTGATTTGCCATTCACCATGCATTATGACGTTGATACTCTCGTCTCTAGATGCAATCTGGACCTAGTTAAACCTGAGTTTTACGGATTTCCAAGGTTTCTGTTTATCGTTGTCATAATATCTAAAGCCGCACGTTCGATATGTCAAAATTCCAACACTCTGCCAAACTTTGTCTCCTTTTCTTTGAATCAAGTCTGATTTTAGGATTACCAGACGGAAACATCTTAGAAAATTTACAATTTGGGGCAAAGAGCTTCAGAGTCAGGCTAGAATTTTAATATATCGAACTTGGGTTATTAATAAGAACGCTCACCGCGCCATCAACGAATTCTACATCGATTCGACTTTTAAAGAAAGTAAAACTAAAAAAAAGTATTTGACTCGAGACTAAAGACCTAAAAGACAATCAAAGATGCCGGACATAGTATTAACAATCTTCAAATGACGGTGCTCTGTTTCCAACTTAGCTATATTTCACTGTTTTACTTCTTGGTCTGTAATTTCGCGGTAGTGAGAAAAAAACTATACTGTTTAATTGCTCTCGGTTTAGTCTGCCGCCGACCAGTGGTATTGTGGCTCGCTCATACTCACCTAATCTCATATCTCGTTCTCATAACTCTTGTTGACATCGGTAAGGTTGCCTTTCTGTTGAGAATTTCCGCAATGAAAGATGTGCGAAGTGTCTAAACATTCAACTTGCCGCATAACATGTTCAGAAAAGTGATTTGAGCAGCTGCCATAAATCAAAATCAAGAATTTTTCCCATTTTCGCCGGTCTGGGTTTGATCTAAAAGAAATTGGTTTACGAGGTTCATATGTCCTAAAACAAACAGCAGAAGCGTACTAAAATTACACGGCAAGGTGTATATACATGTAGCTATAAAGGTTTACAAAACCTGGTGTAAAAGATACCTGTGGCGGTGATTTCGGGAAGATGACCATGGTGCAAAGGACTTTTTCTTGACCGTTCCGCTTGAAAAACTTTATCTGCGGAGCACTTTTGGTCTTTCCCACGTGTACTGTAAAGGCTGTCTGAAACGATTCATGGCCAAGAAACCTTGTAGGAAAAAAATATGAAAGATTGCATATCAGAAGAAAAATAAGACATCTGCGATCACTTTTTGTAATCATTGAGCTAAAGGCTCTGAAAAATCATAGCAATATTGCAGAATACGGACATACTACGGCCGCACAATACATAAGGTATACAACCGTAGTAGATTTAAGTAATATATAGATTTAACCAAGCCTAAAAGCGTAGCTCCTGTTCCAAAAATTTACCATAATGAAAAAAAAAAAAAAATGATTTGTTTTTCTTCGATCAGAAACTCAAAATATGATCAATTATGAGCATGTAATTGTCTTGTACGCGTGTGGTTTTGCTACTCTTTCCAGTTAAATTTTAACACACTATACCCACTATAAGCGTAACTTAAAGATTGTAAAAATTACGTACGCAGTACTTCAAGGACATTCCAAGGGACAATTATGCAAGGAATATATCAGAAGGAAAGTCCACAACGCGCCAGAGGTTAACTCGCACCAAAATTTTGCCTTTGCATGTACTTCCTCTTTCTTTCGCAGAGTAATAACCTGACTTTAGCCTGCGATTGAAAAACCAGTACCTGGTCAGCTGTCAACTTTAAAAAAACCCGTGACATGAATGAGTTCTAAACCTGAGCACGTGATAAGGTCACATGATACTGGTCAGTGGATACCTTGTTTTGACAGGTGTCAATCGACCATAACATAGATGTTCAATATCAAAGATGTAAGTTGTAAACCAAGGCCACATGTCTCGGTCAACCTATTAGCTGGAGTATGGCCGCCATGGTGCGAGTCGCCATCGTCGTGCATACGCATGATAACCAGCCATGATAACAGGAGCCATAATCGGGGACGGAGACCGTAAATCGTAGGATCCGCGCGCACCCATGATATGGGACAATTTTTCTATTTTTAGAACAAATTGTGCCTATGTTAATGGTGCTATCTTAATTTTCAAGGTATTGGGCTTGGTGCACGGACAGTCACATGACAACCACAATTTTTAGATCCATGGGTTACATAATTTTCGAAGGCATGGGGCTCCACTCGCACACGGGAGCTCCCCTATAATGAGATTCATTCCCTACTAATCAGGATCTGTTACTGGATTACCTTTAATTATTATTATTATTATTATTATTATTATTATTATTATTTTATTTTAATTACATAATGCAAGAAATTAAATTATAAGAAAGGAAGCAATATCAGGAAGCTATTAGTATTTTACATTCACTATACAACTTGAGTGACCTACTGAAAGGTTATGAGGCATTGGTACATTGGTCAGCCAAGCCAAGATTGTTTGAATTGACACATCAATAACATTACAGCAGAATGGATAAACAATAATTATATCCTATTAATATACTAAACATAATTTACAAAAAAAATTATATTGTACTACAGTTTGATCCCACTAATTTGAACGCGGCCATTTTGAATTCTCCGTTATTTCGAACTCAAAACCATATCCCTAATGGATTTGCACTCAAGTCAAATACTATCAGCTATTTCAAACTATTTTTT